ATACCTAATACCTACGACCTACCTATATATTATGACCAAAATATTATAATAACCTATAATATTAATAACATTTTTCAGTCGGTAAATTAATAGATCTACCACCCCCCCATGAATTGTTGTTCGGGACGGCCCTGATGGGCATGGACCATTTGCGCCTAAAACAATAATTGTACTTTAGGTCAGTATACCAATTGCGCCGCTTAAATTTTAAGTCAGTACACCAATTGCGCCGCTTAAATTTTACGTCAGTACGCCAATTGCGCTACTTATATTTTAGGTTCCTTATTTTTACATGGAGATATTTAAGTTTCTAAACGGCGGAAAAAGTTACATAATATGTAACTTTTTGTGTATATACTCAGTTAAATATAGCTAACTAATATACATTCAAATATACTCAATTTAAAGCAAAACGTATACGAAATTACGGGGAAATACGATAATCTACAGGCTGATCATTATTAGCAAAATAAAAATTATTAGCAAAGAATTTTTAATTATATTTTTATATATATTAATGATGTATTATTGACGTGTATCTATGTGTATGATTTGGTATAGATTTATATTGTACAAATATTATTAAAATTGACGTTCATTGTATAATTTTTTTGTATTGACTGAAAAAATCTATTTATAATACATATTATTTTCATTAAAGTATTTTTATAATATTATAATATTAATATTAATATATTAAATATAAATATTAAAAACATATTAATATTAGAATAATATTATAAGCCCTGAAAATAACTGAGCGCAATTGGTTTATCGACCCAAAAAACACAGAGCGCAATTGGTATATCGACCCAAAAAAGACAGAGCGCAATATTGGTATATCGACCCAAAAAAGACATTGCGCAATTGGTATATTAAAAGGTCATTTTATGCGCAATTGGTAAACTCCCGTTTTTATCACCATATCTTCTGATTCTTTACCATAGTCGATGGCATTACTTTTAGTGTTATTGGTGTTATATACAATTTCAAACACAGTATTTTTACACGAAGTGTTGGTCCGCATTTTACAAATTTTACCAAAATTAGAAGCCGTAAAACGATTTCTTCGTTCAGTGAACCAAGTTTGGCTATCAGATTGGTTTCGGGTTTCAAACTCTAATGTTTTTTTGGCAGTTAATGAAAGTGAAAGTGATTTTATAAATTCTGCTTTCTTATTAGGACAAAAAATCATTCAAGGGTTCAGCTAGTCCATAATGCTCGTCGGGGCTGCATGATATTTTAGATTCTGAGTGGAACGATGAATGTATTGATTTTACAATGATGTGTGTTTTTTTTTAGTTTTTTTTTTTTGTGTCTGTGTACATATAAGTCACGATAAGTAGTCGAAATAATGCTTCGATTTTCAACTTCAGTATCTTGTTCGATTGGAAAGTGAATATCGTTGGTGCATTGGGTGGGGTCAAAATTTAAAATTCTCACTAATTTTCAAAAGCGCCAATAAAAACCAAAGAAAAATTAAGGAAAAACGGGAATTTTTACGCAAAATCGATTTTTCACAAAATTGAATTTGGTTTTGGTGTAACTTTTAAAAAAAAAATGACCGTAGATACATGCAATTTTCACTGGTTGTTTATATTTGCATTTTCTATACATAATAACATTTTCAAAATATTTTGATTTATTTTGAACTGTTTAGGGACATTTTCATTTTCTATTTTTTTTTT